ACACCTGCTTATACTGCAGCTTATCATGGAAGACTTGGATGTTTACAAATGTTAGTTAAATGGGGTGGTAAATTAGATGAAGTTGATAATGAAGGAAATACAGCAGGTAAAAGTTTTTGAATTCTATAAACATAGAGAAAAACTTTTATTTGAAAATTCACAAATACTGTTTTGTATAACAACTCGTGATGCATCGAATGGTATCAATGACATTGCTTTTTCACATTCTTAGAAGTCATATAACAAAAAAACTAATCTTTGCAATAGCTCATTCACACATATCAATTTAAAATTGATATAATTATACAACTTAGTGATCTGAGAAAATTGTACAGTTGACTTCACCTTTGTTCTTAGGAGCACTAAAAAAGAATTTAAAACAGCATAAAAATGAACAATTACAGAAGCTAGTAAGATGAAGTAGTTTTAAACAAAATTTGATGTAGATTGATTTCGAGACATATTTAGTTATAAAAACAATTTGATGAAAAATATAGACCATTCGATGTGCCACGAATTGTTCTACAAAGATGATCATCTTATCCGATAGGATTCTTTCATATTTCTCTTCAAGATTTTTTTATAAATAGAGTTTTAAAATAATATATTTTAGCTCATCTTGCTGCAATGGAAGGTCATTTACCATGTTTAAAATTTATTGTATCAGTTAGTAAAGACACAGCAACAATATTAGGAGCTCGTAATGATCAAGGTGATACACCAAAATCTTTAGCTGAACAATTTTATAAAGAAAATTGTTGTACATATCTTGATGCACTTGAATGGGAAAAAGATCATCCTGAACAAGCCGAAAGTAAAAAAAACTAAATTGATCATTTCAATTTAAAAACACACACACGCATAATCAAAACTTTTATTTTAAGATCTTGCTTTTCCAGCACATGTTGCTGCATATAATGGAGATTTAGAACATGTTAAATTATTAGTTGAACAAGGTGTTGTTAATATAAACGAACGTGATGAACGTGGAGCAACATTAGCACATAAAGCAGCTGGTCAAGGACATATTGATATATTACGATGGTTAATTGAAATGGGTGCATCTATGGATTTAACAACACAAAGTGGTGAAACACCAAAAGATGTAGCAAGACGTTTTGGACAATTAGGTTGTTTGAAATTAATTGGTGGAGGAACTGAAAAAATTGAAACAAGTACAAATCAACAACATCATCATCATCAAAATGAATCTAATCGACGAAAATTAACAGCAAAAGAAGAAGAACTTAATCGTGCAAAACAAAAATATGATGAATTACAAAAACAATTTGATATAGCTAAAAAAAATTTTCGTCAATTAGGTGGACAATTAGAAGATGATAATAAACGAGATATAGTTGAACATGAATCACAAAAGTATGACTTTTATTTTAAAAAAAAAATACAAGTATTTTTATTTTTTTGTTTATTTTAGAAAAATTGAAGATTTTGAAACTAAATTAGAATTTGAAAGATTAAAACGAGAAAAACTTGAATCAGAATTAGATGAATGTCGACATGAAATTGCACGTTTAATTAATACATTACGATCATATGAAGAAAAACGATTACATACACGTGTAAGATTTTCAAAACTAAAGACAAAATAGTTTTTGTTTTTTTTTTAAGAATTAACCTTTTCACATATGTTTTTCTTTTTTTGATTATTTTAGCATCGACCACCATCAAGTGAAATTCGTCAACATAAACATAAAAAACCATCATCAGCTTCAAGTAAACAATCACGACGAATAGAAAAAGAAACAGGCCTTACATTTATGCGTAGAAATTCTGTTAATTCTTAATCAGTTTTTTCATTTTCTGCTGTAATATAGAAAAAATTATTAAAAGTTACTCTTGTCGGAGTTGAATATTCTGACATTGGGATTGTTAATCAAACGAATTATTTTAATTCTGTATCTATTACTTTTAATAAAATATGCGACAGATGGATTAATCATCCAATTTTGGATGATTTCAGCTTCTCAAAAAGATTTCAATTTCATTGTTTTGTGAATGATCATCTATCAATAATAGAGTTTTTTTTTTAAATTTTTTTCATAAAAATATACAAGATACTTTGGATAAACAATGTTGCATGTCTGTTCGTACCACCGCTAGAGTCCATCGAGAAGCAACCATTGGTATATTACGATAGGATGATGGTCAAAAGATAGCCGATCGATTGTTGGCATACTACTGGTTCTGTTGTCATTGTCAGTATAGCAAATATTACATCGAGCTGTCTATCGTTACTTTTCGCATGAGAATCTTGGTTTCATTGTCATGTATACTTTGAGAAGTTTTTCGATAATATGACATTTGTTGCTTCTTATGTTGATTCGTATGAAACAGTATTATTATCTTTTGCTTCATTAAATTAATGAAATGAATAACAAGTTGACTAAAAAGTTGTGTAGAAAAATGAACATTGAAAATAGTAGCGAAAAGTTCAAGAGCTTTATATATGATTCTACTCAAAATATTTGTTCATTATAACAAATTAAGAGTGTTATATTTAATTTCAAGAAAAAAAGTCTATTTGGCAAAACGCAAGATAATCTTTGATGGTAATAAGTTTTTATTCTTCATACAATGTTGTAGGACAAATTAGAATTCAACTGAAGATAGATTTATACAATTAGACACGCACCGAACTCGAATCTTTAGGTTCGGTCTGGACACTGGCCATTTTCATTTAATAAAATGAAGCCGAAGCAAACGAAAACAATGAATTTCAGGCTTGCCTATGTTAGATCTATATAAAGTGAAATAAATGATCCAAAAACCGAAGAACTACCGGCATACTAATCAAACTGAACAATGTTCAGAAATACTCGAGCTCGAATTTAATCGAACCTAAGGGTGTTTCTATGATTGTTTGTGTATTTCAAGAAACGCTTGGACGATTAATCAAATATCCGTCATTGTTTGGATAGTTTTCAAACATTGAAACAAGGTTTGAGTTCGACGCATACTTACATACAATCAAAATAATTAAAACTTGAATGGAATTACTATATTTTTACACAAACATTGGTTTTCTTTTTAGCGTTCTTATATTTCCAATCCCAAGTACGATCTATGGTTGAATCTGATGCATATCTACTGTCTATTGACATGACTGTTACAATTACAGTTTTATCTCTTTTGATTGATTCTACTCTACTTTTAGTACAATACGTAATTGTAACAATCTATCTTAATTCGAATTGTAACTTTGCCTACAAAATAAATATACGATCGAATACGACATCTATTGGCACTATTAGCAACACATCAGAAACGAATGAAGACCTTTTTTTTTCATAAATTCTTGTTCGTTATTGACTTTATCCATTCATGAATGATTCTTATATAACTAATAAATGAATATGAATATTTTTATGTTTTACAATTGGCTTATTAAATGATATCGTGGACTTTCAATTTACACTTATTCAAAATTACCAAATAGTAGATTCTGCAAAATAGTATTTCAATATTCATCAATTTGACTTCTATCGTATTATTAAAAGATTCTAAAATTTGTTTACTTGTATTAGATAAATCGATCTATTCTAGAATGTTCTCTATATGTAATATCTGCATAATGTTAGAAAATCTCAAATTAATTAAAACTACTAGAATGAGTTAGCATGTATATGAATTTGATATCAAAAAAAGTTTCTATAATAGAAGTACGAACTTCAAAGTTATTGTTTGAGTCTATTATTCTACTAACAATATTTGCTCAGTAATAGTTTAGTTTTTTTTTACCCCAACAGGAAAGAAAAAGAGGAAGAAAAAATGCATCCATCATAATGATAACACATATTTACCTGGAGATATATATATATATGAAGACAAGAGCATCTTTTCATTGATTTGCAAAATATATTACAGATTTTTTTTCTTTTTAAACAATGACCAATGTTCCAAAACATCTTAAATCAGGTATATATAATAGAAAAGAAAATTATCTAATAATTATATTTATTTTTTAAATAGGTTCAACATGTCCACCATTAAAAGAAAATCAATTACGATTATATGGTATGCGTTTTTGTCCATTTGTTCAACGAGCTAAACTTGTTTTAGCTGCTAAAAATATTCCGTAAGTTCATTATATATTTCTTTTGTTAATGACATATTTCGAATTATTACAGATATGAAGAAATAAATATTAATCTTGTTGAAAAACCAGAATGGTATTTAGAAAAAAATTCACCTGGTCAAGTTCCATCATTAGAATGGATTGATAATGATACAAAAGAAGTTCGATTTATACCTGAATCACTTGTTGTTAGTGATTATCTTGATGAAATAAAATCTGATAATCGTTTACAACCAAATGATTCATATGCTAAAGCTAAACAACGTATATTAGTTGAAAGATTTAATAATGTAAATATAATTTTTTATTTCATATATACAAATTTACTTTTTTTTCAACTATGTTTTTTTTTTACTTCAGGTTACAACTCCTTTTTATAAAGTTCTTCGATCAGGTGGTAAAGAAGGTTCTGAAGATTTAAATGAAGGTTTAAGCATATATGAAAATGCACTTAAAGATACATTTTTTGGTGGATCAAAACCAGCTATGGTTGATTATATGTTATGGCCATGGTTTGAACGTTTACCATTATTAAACGATGTTGGTTATCAATTTAATAATGATGGTAAATTACCTAAACTTGCTGCATGGATTAAAGCAATGGAAGCAGATAAAAATGTTCAACAAGTTAAAGTTCCACTTGAAATAACAAGAAAATATATGAATGCTTATATACAAGGAAAACCAGAATATGATTTTGAATAGACTTAGTTTTTATTTAATCATTAGAAATAAATTTTTGTTTTTTTTGTTTTTTTGAATAACTTATATATTCAGTATTGATCTAGAAAAATAATAAAAAGGAAAACAATCAGTGATTATTGAATAATTCTTCTTATGTTTTTAGACATCATTTTGTTTTAATTGTTTGTTGTTTCTTTTTTTGTCAAAAGATTAATATCTCATGTTAAGAATTATTCATTTTCGTCCATTTTTGTTGAATACATTCATTAGAAAAACACGTCAATTAACTGGTAAAAAAAAAACAAAAATTAGATTAATAGTTAATAGAAAGATTTGAAAAAGTTTTTTCTTATTTATATTCAGTATTATATCGTCCATTGTCTGCAGAAACATTACCAATACATCATGATATTGATGAATATAATCATCGTTTTGAAATAGCTGCACCACATTATGAACTTCTCGAGGGTAGATTTTTCTTTTTTTTTTTTTTTTTTTTTTGCTTTGTCTAATTTTAAAATGTATCACGAATTTTCTTAGTACTCAATCATCGTTCATCACAATTACAAACTTTTATTAAATCTACTCGTTCATCTCGAACATCTTCTCCATCATCAGATCGATCAATAACTAAGACTAATATTCGACAACGATCTAATACGAAACGAAAAATTCAAAACAATATTAATATTGAATCAGATTCTATTAAGAAAGAACAAGTAAAATTTGTTTTTCATTTATTATATCAATATTTTTCTTTTTAAAGCCTATTGAATTAGCTCGACCAAAATCGAATAAAACAAAAGACAAAAAGAAGAAAGAAAAAATAAGTGAGTAGAAAAATTTTAGCATAATTTCTTCATTACAATCCTAACATATCCTGAAAGCAGAGATGTCCATGGCGGCGCTGCCGCTGTCGCGCCGCTGCCGTCGTGGCGGTGGCGGCGCGGCAGGTTTCTTAAAAACTCATCGCGGCAGCGGCAGCATTTTTTTTCGAGGACATAGAAAAACTGCATGAATTTAATAGAATTTCATTGTTTACAAATGAAACACCCCGAGACTGAATGAATCTGATGGACTAGTACCAATATTTCTGGTCCAATACAGTTGCAGCAGTGAAAATCGAAACACTTTTTTGAAAACCATCACGGCAGCGGCAAGTTTATTACTCATCGCGGCGCGGCAGCGGCGCGGTGACTTTTTTTTATAAACCATCGCGGCGCGGCAGCGGCAGAGTTTCAGCCGTGATGGACATCTCTGCCTGAAAGGGACAAGAACGTAATGTTAATTTTTACATAGTTGACCAAAAGATTTTTGAAACCAGCAACCCCCCATGGAAGGTAGAGTCTGTCAGATTTGGACTTCGATCTGGAAACTTTGTGTGTCAGCTGTACTCAAGCTAACATGTGAAATATCATCAGGCATCATATCTTATTGCCGAACGAATAAAACAAGTCAATTTTTTGTTTTCGGAGCAGAAAAATGATTTTATCTGCCTTTCTTCTTTCACAGGACTTTTAAAGAATTTTTTTTTAACGCAGAGTATATGTAGTAAACTCTAATAAATGATGATCGAAAGACCATTTTCGAAACTCGAAAAGTTTTTGTAATCATATCTTTATGTGATTTTTTTCAGTTGTGCCATCATCTCCTTCTCCTCTACCAATTCCACCAAATCGAATAAATGAATTAAGTATAAAACTTACTCGTACAACATCTATTGATGAAAATCAACTATCAACAATATCTTCTAATAATTTACATGATGAAACTTCAATAGTTGAAGAAGAACAAGAAGATTTACAATCAAATGAAACATTACTTCCACCATCTGAAGAAGAAATAACATTTAATGATGATGATAAAACATTAAATGATTTATTAAGTAGTTTACATTCTACTAAAGTTCGTCGTTTACATAAATATACAGATGAACAAATTAAATTTATGCATGCACATAATGAATTTAATCGTATGTTACAAGCTTATGTAGATGTATCAATATCTAATGGAAAAGTTTGTTTGATTTTTTGATAAATTTCCTTTTTTGATTTTATTATTATTTTATATAGTTAAATCAAGCTTATCGTTTACTTGATGCATTATTAGCTGATCAAGAACGAAGACAAACAATGAAACAACTTACTTGGCGTTATGTAACAAATATACATGTTTTTAATGTATTTTATTTTGCTTATGCAGATAAAGTTATTATTAAAATAATTTTTGATTATTTATTTATTGATTTTATTTTTAGGGTAATCTTATAGCATTACAAAAATTATTTGAAAAAATGCGTAAATATAATATAAAACCAAATCTGGAATCTTATGCAGCAGTTTTAAGTTGTATTGGTAATATGGATTTATTTGATTCAAGTGTTGCTCGAAGAGTTATTATTGATCTTGAAAGAGAAGTATAGTAAACAAAAAACAAAGTATCATCTGAATAAAGAATTATGTTTGGTTTTTATTAAGGGTTTTCGTGTGGTGGATATATTTAATCTTGATTGTTTAAATCATGAACATATACAAAGAATTTTAAAAGTTTTAAAAACTTTTCGACCAAATTTTGAAATTCCAATGCGTTCATCAGATGTGAATAATAAACTTTTGAATAATATTTATCAACAACCATCTCTAACAATCGTAAGTTTAGAAAAAGATTAGTTAAAATAATATCGTTTATGTATATCGGCTATTAAACTCTTTTGCTAAGATTTTTTGAGTTATTGTTCGTTTTAGTATTCCATTTGATAGTCCGATGAAGGTTATTAAATGATGAAATTGGTTCCTTCACAATATTGAGTTTATTATTTTCCCAATGGTAAATTCCTGAATTTTCCATATAAACATCGAATAACATGATGCTAGAAGAGATTAATAGTATCGAGTGTTTTTAGTTAGCCATATGCACTCAGAATGATGTAGAGAGAGCTGATTTCATCACTTGACGAACATTTCTTCTATGCAAATTTTTATTACAATATTCATGGTGAGATTTAGGTGTTACCATATCTTATTGGGCAGTGCACATTTCTGTTGAGCATAGACTATGAATAACAGTTGGATAGTGTAACTCCATATGCTTCATAAATTTTAAATCGGCATATTTCTGATCTTCTGATAGAATCATATACTATCTAAATTCATTCATTTTTTTCATATGAATTATATATTTTTAAGTTTGATAAGGGTCAAATCATTTACTTTTTTTTAAAAATAAATTGTGCATGCAAAGAATTACCAGATAGAGTAATGTACAAATCTGGCCTTTTTCGAATAGAATAAATGATGAGTTTGCTGATACTGGGTTTACGAAAAAAGTCCTTCAACTAATCAGTCGAGACAATTTGTATCATGCAGAGCCTAATGAGCTATCAACACACTCAAAAGAATTCAGACTCATAACGTACTAGTGCTGAAATGTGGCATTTTTACGAATCTTTTAAAGTTAAAACCACGAATCTCCTCAGGAACACTACGAAAATTTGCCTTTCAAATTTTGACTTGAAACTCTACACCTTATTTTATGTTATTTGGATTAATACTATTAAGATCCATATCATTATGTTCACTTTCAAGTTTGATTTAGTTTATAAATCTATTTCTATTTTCTTTTTTGTGTCGTGTTGTTTTGTTTGTTTTATTTTTGAACAAAGATCAACCGTTACAAACCGATCTATGGTGGAAAGAGATTGATTTTAGGAAGAAATTAAATGAACAAATAAATATGGAAATCGATCATACAGTTAAAATAAAGTCGATTAATGCAATGGAAAAAATCGATAATAAATTGGTTTGTTTATTTTATTTTTTTCAAATTAAAAGAAATTTGTTTTTTTTTTGTGTTATTGTTCTAGTCAACAAGATATCAAGATTTTATATCAAATCTTGAAAAACAATTAACAATAGGATTTTTAACTGAATTAGAAATATTAAAAAGAAAAACAGAGAAAAATTCTGAAATAAATATTATTCCATTTCTTGAAATATTTGATGTTAAAGAATATGTTAATTTAATGTTAAAGGTAAGATTCTCTTTTATTGTATTTTTCTTTTTTATTATTATTATTTTATATATCTTATAGGAAGTACAGCGACATTGTTATGCATCAGAATTTCATTCATCACCATTTATAACTCTTTGTGTATCACTTGGTAAACATTTATATCAAAAATATTTATGTCAAATTCGACAAAAAAATGGTTATATTGATAAACTACGTCTTTTATATGATGAATATACAAAACATATTATTACAAATCAAAGATTTATTATTAATGAAAGACAAAAATGGAATGAAATAACTAAAGAAAAATTTGCTTATATGGTTAGTTTTCTTTTTTTTTTTTGAAAGATAGTTAAGAAAATTTTCGAAAAAAATTTATCATTAATTTTTTATTTTAGGATCGTAGTGATCGACGATGGACATTTACACAAGTATTACAAATTGGTGAATTTCTCTATGATGTTATGTTAAAACATATGAAACTTCGTGTACCATTACTTACTAAAAAAGATTCATCAGTAAAAACATCGTAAGTGAAATGACGAAAGAACATTTTCAACTGATCAACATATTTTTTTAATCTTTTCAAATTATAGCATAAAGCGAATTAATTGAAAAATAGTAGCTTTTCTAATTTTAATAAAACATCATAATTTGTTTTGATAAAGATAGTGTATTGAAAAGTATTTGCACGAAAGATTTCAAATTCTAAGAGCTGAAATACTTTGATTTTAGGTTTTTTTAGAGATCATTTTCTTGAAAAACTGTCCATTTAAGTCACTCGCGATACTTCTGACTCTAAATCTAAATATTGAAAATCTATTTGATTTTTCTCTACGAAATTTCTTATGTCTATGATTCAGAAATTTTTTTTTACAAAAAAATGATTATCTATTTAGAAATAATTCAATTTTGTACGTCGTCTATCGATCTTCGGGTAAATCTACTGAAAAACAAATTAAAGTATGTCTATCATATCGTATAAATCCTTTTTCCATCCATATTTATTTATATAGATTCATCCAAATGTTCTAAATTTCTTTTCATATATTCCTGAAACTGATCTTGACTTTAGTTGTATTGAATTACCATGTCTTGTTCCTCCACTTCCATGGTTATTATCAACAATGGGTGGTTATTTATTAACACAAACTGATTTTGTTCGATCACCTGTAACAGCAGCTGGACAACAAGATGCTCGTCTACGATCTACATCTGTTGAAAAAATTGGTGGTTTACTTGATTCAATAAATGTTTTAAATAGTTGTGCATGGAAAATTAATGGTGATGTACTGGATCTTTTAATGGATATTTTTCAACGTGGTGGTAATCGTCATTTATCTGTACCAGTTACTGTTAATAATGCTAAACTACCTGAATCACTTCCACTTGAAAAAGTATTCAAAAAAATTTATACATATATAATAATAATAATAATAAAAAATATTTTTTTTTCTTGTTTTTCAAATAAAGGGTTTATCAATTGATGAACGAAAACGAAGAGAAATTGTTTTAGCTCAAACAAAAAAAATGAAAGCTGAAATTTTTTCATTATGGTGCTATGAACTTTATCGTATATCAATTGCTAATCATGTATATTTAAAAAAATATATATTTTTTTTTTGTGTTTAATTAATTTAGAGAAATAATTTTCTTATTTTAGTTTCGTAATGAAATCTTTTGGTTTCCACATAATCTTGATTTTCGTGGTCGTGTTTATCCTATTCCTCCACATTTCAATCATCTAGGCAGTGATATTGCACGTAGTATTATTCTATTTGCTGAAGGCAAACCATTAGGTGTTAATGGTCTTCGACAACTGAAAATTCATTTAGTTAATTTAACAGATTTAAAGAAAAAAGCATCTATTGATGAACGAGCGAAATATGCTGATGAAATTATGGATGATATACTTGATTCAGCTGATAGACCATTAGATGTATGTTAATACTTTTTTTTTTTTGTATCATGAAATTTATTTTAAATAAAAATAAAAATTTAGGGTCGTCAGTGGTGGACAAAATCCGAAGAACCATGGCAAACACTTGCTTGTTGCATGGAAATAGCTCGTGCAATACGTTCACCAGATCATACAAAATATGTTTCACATTTTCCTGTTCATCAGGTATTCTTCAATAAATTGCTTGATTAGATATAAGCAAGATGGTACGAGGACAAGCACATTGTTATTGAAAATCAGAGGTTTTATAAACGGAGTGATTGTTTATCTTTACAATCATTTAATTTTTCCTAAGAGCCACTTAAAGCAATAGCAATGTTAGAAAGAAGGCAAAGAGACAGTCCGTCACCTTCAAAAAAATATTTTCAATTTTTTTCGAGCGTATATGACAAACAAGCAGGACGTAGTTCAGTAGCAACTTGAGTACGAAAAGACTTTAAGATTTCTGAACCTTCCTAGCGTTGCAATATGGTCAAACTTTCCAATACTTTTTAAGATGATAGTCAAAGAAAATGAATTACTGTATTTGGTTTGTACACTTACTTTTTGTACTGTTGTTTAATATAAACTTAGACTTTCTGATAGTAACTATCATCAAATGCGTTCAAATTTTCGCTTTCAATCTCTCCAAACCGGTATTTCGCCGGAACTGACATTAAAACGATTGATATGTTGATAGAATTTTTTTTTCAGGATGGTTCATGTAATGTTTTACAACATTATGCAGCTATGGGTCTTGATGATATTGGTGCAGCATCAGTAAATCTTAAACCTAGTGATTTTCCACAAGATGTTTATAGTGTTGTTGTTGATCAAGTTGAACAAGAACGTAAACAAGATGCTGCTAATGGTTTACAAATAGCTAAAATTCTTGAAGGTTTTATTAAACGTAAAGTTATTAAACAAACAATAATGACAACAAATTATGGTGTTACATTATTTGGTGCTAGACAACAAATAGGTCGACAATTACGTGATATTGATGAATTTCCAAAAGAACATATTTCAGAAGCAAGTAGTTATTTAGCACAAAAAACATTTATTAGTCTACGAGAATTATTTCGAGAAACAAGAAAAATTCAAGTAATTTATTTTTTTGTATACTAATTACTTGAATAAAATATTTTTTTTTTATTTACATAGGATTGGTTTACTGATTGTGCAAGATTAATTTCACGTGTACGTGATTCAGCTGTTGAATGGAATACACCAATGAATTTACCAGTTGTACAACCATATTATAGAGAAATTCGAATGCGAGTTAGTTTAAATAACTGTTGTTTCTTATTCTTTTAGTATATTATCTTTGTTTTTTGATATTTAGCAAAAAGGCAAAGATATTTATGATAATTTTAGTAGTTTTGCGTAAGTTTTTTGTTTATATTATAAATTAAAGCTTTCTGTTAGAAGAAAAATAAATGAAATTTTTAAATCAAACATTGTTTTTGTTTTTTGCTAGTCGTCCAAATAATACCAAACAAAAGAATGCATTTCCACCAAATTATGTTCATTCACTTGATTCAACACATATGATGATGACAGCATTACAATGTGCACGTAATGGTATTACATTTGTATCAGTTCATGATTCATTTTGGACACATGCATGTGATGTTGATCGACTTAGTCAATATTGTCGAGAACAATTTGTTTCATTACATAAAGAACCATTACTTGAAATACTTTCAAGAGATCTACTTTCAAAATATGAATTTAAATCCAGGTATAAATAAAACATATTAAAAAACTCTGTCAAGACAGAGTAAAATGTAGAATTCCCAAGGGTTTTTTCAGTATCATTATATTAATACACAATATGTTAAGTGAAAAATCTATAATTGTTCTCCAAGGATAATCAATTATCAGTGGAATGATCTATCTAATTTTTCGTCCGCCTGTCTTAAGGCACTATTGAAGTTAGAAAAACACTGATATTGATTATTTCCCAAAGTTATAACTTAATCATATGACGACTGTAGAAAATCCATTCATCACTAACTATCATCCTTCTCTTCAAATTTTCTAGAACACTCTAATGAAAGAATTCTCCCAATTGTTTATTCACTTTCAAGTTATCCTATGCAAAGTTTCAAGTTGTAATTCGAAAATTAATTTTCCTAGTGTTCTTGAGGGAGACCACAGTATTGTATTGAAAAATACCGTAAAAATACAATAATTCTCTCACTAATGAACTCTTGGGAAGAAGTATGATGCCTGTTGTTCTTCTTTTGCCATAAAACTTTCTCTTGAAACTATATACTCACTATATTGTTCTCCAAAAAAAACATAATTAATCAAGATTCTTTACATTATATATTTTTTTCTTTTCTAGTGAATATGCTCGTGCTGATGATAAACAAAAACAAACAATGAAATTATTTAATGATACACTTCAACGTGTACCTGAACGTGGTACATTTCAATTAGAAAGTGTACTTAATTCGACATATTTTTTCAGCTAATAAATTAAAAGTTTTTGTTGATATATATATATATATTTATATATTCATTTTTCTTTTCTAAATATTAATTATTTTTTGATTGACTTCGTGATGATTGACGTGGCCGACGTTGTTGATTTGATGGAGAATTTTTTGTATTTCTATCATTATTATTATCTATTTTAGCCATATGTTTAATTAAATCAATAACACGATGACTATAACCATATTCATTATCATACCATGATATAAGTTTAACAAAATTATCATTAAGAGAAATACCCGCTTTAGCATCAAATATTGATGAATATGAACTACCAAGAAAATCAGATGAAACAACTTCATCATCTGTATAACTTAAAATATTTTTTAATTCATTTGTATTACAAGCATTTTTAATTGTATTACAAATATCATCATATTTTGCCTATACATAGAGAATATTCAAATAAGTATTAAATTGAGATAGAGAAAACATTTTTTCATACTGGTTTTTCAAGACGACAAGTTAAATCAACAACAGATACATCGGGTGTTGGTACACGAAATGCTAAACCAGTTAATTTACCATTGAGAGCTGGTATAACTTTTCCAACCTATTGATTTTAAAATAAACATATAAAAAGAAATACATTTAAAATGTTAAAACAAAAATCAACAAACAGCTTTAGCAGCACCAGTTGTTGATGGAATAATATTTTGTGCTGCTCCACGACCACCTCGCCAATCCTAAAAATAATAATTTATCATTACTTTTCTTGTTTTTTAACAAATCATCTAAATCAATTAACTTTATTCGATGGTCCATCAACTGTTTTTTGTGTTGCTGTATATGAATGTATAGTTGTCATAAGTCCTTCAATAATTCCATATTTTTCATGTATAATTTTAGCTAATGGTGCAAGACAATTTGTTGTACATGATGCATTTGAAACAATTGAATCTTTGCCTGTATATTTATCTTCATTAACACCCATAACAAACATTGGTGCATCAGCTGATGGTGCAGTTATAATAACTTTTTTTGCACCACTTTGAATATGTGATTGACATTTATCAATTGTTGTAAATACACCAGTCGATTCAACAACATAATCAATACCTAATTGACCCCATGGAATTTTTGAAGGTTCTTTTCTATAAAATAGAAAACAACAAGAACATAACATGACTGAAAAAAAAAAAATATATATATATAAGTTTAAAATTTAACTCTGTATAAACAATTATTGGCTTGCCATCAATAATAAATTTATTATCTTTATATGATAAGTCACCTTTAAAACGTCCATGAGTAGAATCATATTTAAACATATATACCATATAATCCACAGGAATGAATGGATCTATAGAGAATTAATTTTATTTGACTTTTCTTTGTGTTATAAGAGGATAGACAAATATTTGATTACTTACCATTAATAGCAATAACTTTAACACCTTTTTCTAATGCACATCGAAGTACAAGTCGACCAATACGACCAAAACCATTAATACCTATTTTGATATCAGACATTATTCGAACGAAATGAATATGAACACAAATATTTAGATAAAGAAGAATTAAAAGTAGAAAACAAAAAGCGCCTTTATTAGCATAACAAAAAGACAAATTTTCAATTGACAGTTTTCTAATCCAGTACGAAGCAGAGCATTTCTATAATAAAATTCTGTAATCTGTGTTGAAACGATCTAGAGAATGACGAGTGACTAGAAACTTGTTCGAACTTTGTCAGAAAGATTAGTGTCACTTTTGTATTGTCTTATTCATGAGTCGAAGAACGTTAAAGATTGTTTTTAATCACGTGAATCTGTAGGAATCCTTTTCTTACATTTAAGACCAAAACTAATTATAACTGTTGGGCTCTTTATCTTTATTACGATATAAATAGTAGATTGGAATACTCCTTTGTCCTGAATTTCATTGTGTCTCCATAAAGAGATGTTGTTTAACGGACAGCGGCGCATACAAATCTGATTTAGCTCATAGGACTTTTTCTCATCGAATCCAGAACAATCATATATAGGATACAAGAACTTTGATAACATATTTCAGTTACACTTGAGGATTTCCTCAATCATATCTTGATCGCATGGATATGCTAATGTATTTCTTGAAGGGGGTGTGGGTGTCTGCTTTTCACCCAAACTCATACTCTACACTGATCACCCCATCTTCATTGGTAAATTCTTTTATTTAAGAAAATCCAATCATCAGTTGAGTTATATTTCTTTATTAAAGGTTCAGATACATGCTAGAAATTATGAATCTATACAAACGATTGAGAAAATATATTGCATAGTAGTTTGATGCTACAATGATCATTTTCTATAATCATATATGATTAATGATCAATGGTATTGAAAGTCTTGGCAAGAAAATAATATACAAGTTTACTTTATTTTTGTATGAATTATAAGACCATTATAATTGTAATAGAAACCCTATATGTTGATTCATTAAAATATTTATGAACATATTTCCAAGCCTCAAACTCGGCTATTATTCAATTAGCTAGTGAATTACTTTTTATGAACTGTGAAGAAATAATTGAGTTAATATCTTTCATAATTTAAGATTGATATATGATAGATTTCAATAACTTATTAGCTATATATATATCTAAGATTATTTTGAAATATATTTGTCAATCTGGTATGATCGAGGTCTTCAATATACTTCAAAATTCTATTTCAACTGTTATTTAACTTCATACGCATATTCTTGAATAGACTGTGAACATCATTTCTACATTTACTGTGCATGTTTCGAAAACCTGTTATTCGATATGTGGTCAACTATTTTTCAAAATATATTGATACTATTTCATATCTAGAGACCTGTGTGACTATTCTGTCGTGACTAAAGAAAAGAAATGATTATTCGATAATAGCTTTCATAGTGGATGTGAAAAAATAATTCTAGTTGATATCTCGTGTTCAGAATTTTAAACTCTTCAAAATGACATTAAAAAGTCAAGGATATCATGTTCTACAGAAGAGAGAATTAAGGTACATTTGTTCTCACCAATTCTGGACACGACCACTCACGAGGTTTTCTGGTCACGACAAATGTACTTTAATTATCTCTGCTGTAGAACATGATATCCTTGACTTTTTAATGTCTGTTTGACGAGCTTAAAATTCTGAACACGAGATATAAAGTAGAATTATTTTTTCACATTCACTATGAAAGCTATTATCGAATAAGCTTTTTTCTTTGGTCACTACGGAATGGTTCCGCAGGTTTCTACTTCCGATGTAGCTCATACCCATGCATACGCACACCCTCCATTGATGCTGCTAAACTTCGACTATTGAATGATTGTGGCGCACCTTGATTATTGGGTGAATGATATGAAAAATAATTTGATGATGAAGAATTTATCATTTGTGAAATACTATTTGACCCTGAATTGGTTGAGCATATATCACCGAAAAGTCCATTTAAGATTTTGATAGGTACAAAAGATAAATACTCATTTAATGTGAATGTATTAAAAATGCGAATCTATTTGAAAATAATAATATCTTATATCTGAAAGTTTTATTTATTTTCATAACGAAATGATTCAATAAAAAATCCACATTTTCGAATAGTTTGAATTTATTCTGAAATTCATTTAAAGAATTTTCTTTTACTTCATTCAGCAATATTCCACATACTGATGCAGTTAAAATAACCTTATCTGGTTGTTTTTTTTTTTTGAATTTTGATGTTTATTATATTGCCGTTCATTTCGTAATTCATTGTACAGTTATTGAATTGATTATGACCGAAAGCAATGATGTTGTTAATTATTGTTGAAAAAGATAAAACATCCCTTGTAATGACAACCGAGTAAAAACCGATGGTTTACCGCGGTTTTTTGGCTAACCGCTAAAAGTGATTCGGTTTTTGTGAGATGGGATATATTTTTAAAGAAAAGTGTTTTTCTTACTGTCGTTTAAGGTATATGATTTATGATAAAGCAATGAATCAAAATAAACATATAATCGAACTTCTTTTGTTTTAATAACCTGGTTAACAATTCATCCATGATGTCTATTTTATCTAGAAATAAGAAGATTACTTAGAGTTAATAAAAAAATTCTACTGATTTTGATAATAACATCAGCAGAGAAACAGAAAATTTCTACAGTTTGAAAGACCTCAACAGCAGATGCTTCAAATTTTCGAGGGAGTTCAAACGAATTAGTGTTAATTGCCTGATAGGAAAAAGCCAAAAGGTAAAATCTTGAGAAAAACAGACCGAAAAGCAAAAGCTCGAAAATGTCGAAAGAGTAAAATGTAAAAGGAATTCGAGTACTAGATAGATAGATGGTTTATTAATCCTAAGTGTATTGAACAATGAGAGAACCGTAGGAATAAAAGAAGATAGATTGTAGAAGTTGACTGTGATGTGGTGTTTTATTGCTGTAGTTGGAGAGAAAAAAGTATTATAAAAGAAATAGGCTCGCAAAAGCAAAAAAAAAACAGTACTAAGTGAACATTCATGTTTTAGGTTTCATATCTTTTGCCACAAGTAGTGATAAACTTTGAAGATATTCTCTTTTAATCGATTTCCGCCTTTTCAAATCTTGACGATAAATTTTGAAGTCGGTGTTTGACATAGTGCTCGGCGTGACCAACTCTTTTGGTCACGGTCACAGTAAGCCCAGTCTGTGACCGTGAGTCGCAGCCCTTCTTCTGGTTTCTCAACGTGAAAAAATACTTTCCAGAAAGAGCTATTGCAAAGTCTCCCTAGGAAAAACCCTTGATTTTTCCGTACCAGGTCCTTTATGGATTCAGTCAGGATCCATTCAGGATTCGCTCTTTTTTGCTGAGGAAACGACGTAATCCTGAAAGAAGTGCGTAGCCACGGAATTTCAAGATCCTAATAGGATTCGAAAAAGGATTACATCAGGATCCTGAACAGGTTACCATTGTTGTTGAACTTGGAATAAATTAGAAAACAAGATGTAGTTGTGGGTGTGAACAGAAGTTCTACTTGTCTTAACTGACACGAACAATCACTGAT